GAGGCCTATGGCTCTGCACAGCTGCATGGGAACAACTCTGAAGATAAAACTAACATGTCAGTGTTTTTTGGCCACCTATAAACCCATCTGCACCTGCAGATGAAAAATAAACAGGCCATTTAGTCTATCAGTGTGTACTGAATTGCCTGTGAAAAGCATTGAGAGCCTTAAAAGGCAACAAACAATGTTTGTATTTCTTTCATGGGTTCCTTGGAGTTTGCTGTGGCTGATTCTTGCTCTCACTAACACTCCTGAACTCGTTGCTGAATTTTACCACTAAACCAGATTGGGGCCTGGACTGGAGCACAAGGTCAGCCCACAGGCACAGAACAGTGCCAGGCTTTCTAGCATTCAGGTTTGTTGTCTGAAAAGGCCTTGTGCTTTTTCAAACACCCTCTGCCTTCCCCCACTGCTTTCTCAAATAATTTAAGAATATTTCAAGATCACGTGTCAGAAATCTGCACAGGACTGATCTAACCCCTGCATGTTCTGTGATGCTGCAGTGCATTCTGAGAATGGCCCAAACCTATTTCAGGAAACTACAAAGGAAACAAGGAGATAAGATATTTCTACTCCATGTACACAAACAGTCCTGGTTGACCATGGCAGCACTCTGGACAGGCTGCCAGAAGCAAGGAGGCTTTCCTTGGTTTGTTGCTAATCTGTAAAATGAGTCTAAGGGGTGAAACCTGATAGTCCCCAAGAGGAAAGAAGTGGGGTGGGATTAATTTAGTTTAATTTTAGACAGACTAAAATGAGGTGTTGAGTCTTTCGTGCTCTCTTGATTGTCAATGGAGAGAGACAGGAACCATCAAAGTGTAATTCAGCCCACCAGTTGTAGACAGCTATTTTAGGATGGGCTGAGTTGTTCTGGAGGTGCCTGTCTTTGGCATTTGACTAGAGAGGATGCCTAACTCATATGAAGTGCCTGAATTTTAGGTAGCTGAAGGTTAGGCAAGATGACTCTAAGCCTTGGTATCTAGCGTGACCTCACATGGGAGGGATAGAGGGAGGAACATTGTATTACAGGGTGAAGTTAATCAGGCAGCAGGAACCACCACAAGATTTGCATGTGCATTTCTGAGACGGTATGGGGGCTGCTAAGGGGAATGCTGACACAGCTGGAAATAGAGCAGCACTAGCAGGCACCACCATGTGACGCTTGCTAATACTTTGTTCCCTGTCATTATGCTTCCAAAAATACACATTTGTGGTGACAGGAGGACTCTGAGGGTAGCAGTTACGAGAGAGGTTAGCTTTATGGTTGGTTTTCTTCTGACTGGTCTAATAGCACTTCAGGATATTTTGTGTATCCAAAAATAATGCTTAAGGTATTGTTTTATCTGTTTTGAAAGGGGGCACCTGTAAAAGATTCCCCCTTGCCAAATTTTCTTTTTCTTCCCCTGAGAACCAAGGTCATGGTGAATTTTCTTTAGTCATCAGAGGATGAGGCAAGCCCTGTCTGCCCCCAACACTGGGTCAATTAGCATGACAGTTGCTAGCATTGATGAGGGTCCCTGTGGGGTGGTATGAAGTGCTTTTTGAGAGGCTGAGCATGCTTCCTTCAGCAACCCTGACAGTGCTGTCCCTGATGGTAATGTGAACAGGAAATTAGGTCCAGGAGTCAAAAACCAAACCCCAGTTCAGCATCACTAGTTACTTAATAGGCAGTCATGTTGAGCTTGGTGATGCAGAAGATGTGAGGAGTGATGACTGTTAAGGGTCCTGTAGGAAGGGCCTGAGCACCTTCTCAGAGGAATGATTAGTCTAGCTTGTAGCCCTTTTTGCAAGGGGGAGAGTGGGTTCAAAGTGTGCCTGTGTGCATGTGGCCTTTATAGCACAGATATTTAATTAACCCAACACTACTTGGAGCTTAGTTAGCACTCGAGTGACAGATCACTTGTACTGCACATGCACAGCATACAGCTCTCTGCAGTGTAGATAATGCATTGCCTGGAGAGACTGGGCAGCCCCAGCTGTTATCTTAGCTAGTCTTATCTGCTTAGATACTGTTATCATGGCTTCTTGGTGTGACGCCCACTAGAATGGGGTCTGACCATGTGATCTTTATACTATGTGCCTTTCCTCACACTAGCCTTGTGAAACAAGGCAGAGCTGTTCTACAGAGGAGGAACAAAAGTGTACTGAAGGCTAAATAACTCATCCAAGGACAGAGAGGATGCTTGTGCCAGAACCTAGATCTCCAACTATCTTGAGTATAATTGGAAAATCTGAGTAGATCATCCCATACCAAGAAAATTGCAGGGGTAAAGTAGAGATTAGGCAAGGTTCGGTTCTTCCATATTCATTGAAGGACTTTGCTCACTTATGAACACAATGGTGTATTCCAAACACGATCTGTGAGCTTTTGTTGACACAGCATCATTAATTTAAAAAAAACGCTCTCCTTGCATATTTGCTGGGTGTAGAAGGCAGGCTGGAAAATTCAAACCCTTTAGCATGTCTTTTATGTACACAGCAGTGCTGTTAACTGAGTTGTGATACTGTTACAAGATTATGCTGATTGGGGTAATATAAGGAGGAAAAAAAAACCCTGGCAGACATTCCGTGGATGCCCAGAAGACAGTTTGACCTCAGCATAGCAGAATTAGTAGTTTTTTGGTTTTTTTATATGCAGTATCTGGGCCTAGCATAAAATCCATTAAGTCAACAGGCATCCTTTCACTGACTTCATAGAGGTATGAATCAGGCCCCTAACACCAGAAAGAATAGCACAGATTAATTCTGTAGAAGAAAAAGGTTTGTTTTTAAAGGAATGGGGGGAATAGTGAATGATGAACAACTGGTGACACATACCCTGGGATAATAGGGGACTTCAAGAAACAGAATACAGCATGGAGGAGAATGCCACCACTCAGGTGACACAGCAGCAAGGATCTATATCTCTGGGATTGTTTGGGATTTTTTTTTTCTCTTCTGCCTCACTTTAATATTTACAGTTAAACTGAATGTGAATGTGCTGTCTATCAATAAAGCTGACGGAGAAAATGATAGGCTGGGAAATGCTTTGAAACTGTGATTCTCTCTGACTCCTATTGTTTTCCTTTAACTTTTACACACTGGCCATTCATGCAGTTGGTGGGGAAGAAAGAGAGACTGAATACTTTGAAAAGATAACTAAATTTTAAAGATGAAATTTGAAAGAGGAAAAGCATCCTCAATGTTTCAAAATTAGGATATGTGTTATTGGGTCCAATGTGTGCATGCAGTGGTTGTTTCATTGCTATGCACAGACTTCATTATCCTCCTAACAGGCATGCATGAGTTTCCCTAAATTGCAGTGGTAAGGTCAGGTCATATAGGGACACATGCTAATTTCTGACTGAATCCAATTGCCAGTATATCTGCGGGTTTGTATTTCAATTAAACTGAACTGTATGTGGGCTTCCACTTAAGAAAGATTATGAAAAAGAAGGAGCATAGAGGAATTATGTATAGATGGTATTTTCTTTATGGTGCCTGTCAGTACCAGGCTAATTTTAGGAGATGGGGTAGAATTCTATTTCTGCATTCATTTAGTTAGAGAAATGTTAAATCCTTGCTGAGGTCAGCAGGCATTGTGTATGCTAGGTGTTTGAGAAGGAAGTGTCTGGCTTGATGACTTAGATCAAGCGCCAAAGGTTTGAAACTTACAGCAGCAGCAACACTGGAAAATGGGGTCATTGTTAAAAAGAAAAATGCCTTAGTTCGGAAGAAATTGTTTAAATCCCATGAAGGAGGAAGATTTGAAACTTGAATTAATTTAATTTCTCCCTAATTATGAGCTATATAAAGAAAAAAATTCTTCAGGGTGTTGGCAGAGCTTCCAATGTTGGTGCTTTGCTCACTCAGTGCCACTGGAACTAATGTGAGTGGGGAAAAGTGGTCCCTGTGCGGAATTGCAATGGCTTGTTAACAGGTGGGTATTCTCTACCAGCAAATGTGGTGGGGAGACTTGCATCAGAGTCCAGCTAGCGCCATTAGCCCTTCACCCTTGTAAGGACTAGAAGTTCACTGCTTGTCACCACAGTCTAGGAACATAGATTATAAAGAATCTGAGTGAAAAGTCATCATCTTAAGATGACTTAAAGCATTTTTATTTGTTTCTCTAGATGTACAGGGGCTTCCAGATAATGCCACATGTTCAGTACATCTACACAGAAGCCTCTGAGAGTCTTTGTGGAGTCAAGCTGGAGGTCAACAAGTACCAATATCTGATTACAGGTAAAGGACAGTGTACTTCTTCGTAATCAAAACCTCTTCTGTTCTATACATACACCTGCTAAGGACATGGGCAGCTGTGTAGGCAGCTCTGTACACAGCTTCCCAAGTGTTGAGGTGGCCAACAGTATTTTGGTGTTCAGTATTCTTTAATGCTGAGAGTCATTTCACTCTCTAGATTTCCCTCTCTTTCCTCAAGTACCTCTTATAGCCAGCCATGTTGTGACAAATACGCTGTATGACAGTCCACAACTGTCAGTTCATACCTGAGCTGGCATGTCTGTCACAGGGAGCTGGTTGCTACTCAGCTGCACCAGACATGGGAGATCCCATTTGGAATGAGCTGGAGAAATGCAGGCTGCTGAGGTGGGGGGATGCAAGGAGAGAGAGACGTGGCAGTTGCCAAGTCTTGTTTCTAGTGAAGGTGTCAATTCACTTAGTTTTGCTCTGTTGTTGAGAGGAGCTTGACAGCATTGCTCACCTGCATGTTGTTGCTGGTGCTTACAGCTGGCACAACACTCCTAACTTACAGAAGTGCTGTAATCTTGCTGGCCAGAGATTCCTGAACCAGTTAATAAAAACAAAGCAGTTGCTGAACAGTGACTGAAGCCAAACATATTGAGAGCATTAGCAATCTCAGGAAACAAGAAAAGTGCTTGAGCTGAGAAGTGCTAACTTGTGACCATGTCTCTGTTTTCAAGGCCGTGTGTATGAAGGGAAGGTTTACACTGGCCTTTGCAATTGGTATGAGAAATGGGACCGGCTGACACTGTCCCAGCGTAAAGGACTGAATCATCGTTATCATCTGGGCTGTGGATGCAAGGTATGTGCGTCTCTAATTAGGTGGCGTTAAGACATTCAAACCCTAGAATTCTGTTTCCCTTGGCTGGTAATACTAATGATGCTGGTGAACAACCAGGAAGAGAAATGGAGGACAACAATTTTTACAGGGAAAAAGTAAAGCTCAGCTTTAGTGTTGAGACCAGAGAAGAGACAATCAAATAAAAATGCAGAGTCTATGCCTTTTTAGTGCCCTGTTGGAGTTAAGTGGGGTTGGGGAAGGCTTTCAGAATCCATGCAGAATCATTTGCAGGTGAATGAAATCAGGTACCAGAGGCTTGGCAAGATATGTCCAGCTTTTTTCCTGTGTAAACATTTTGAGTGCTTAAAACCTCACAGCCTGGCACTGGCACTAAGATTTTTGCTCATGGCCTCAAGCCTGCAAAAACATAGACACAAGCTCAACTTTTCTGCACCTGAAAAGCCCATTTGACTCTGGAATTAGCTGTGTATGTGAAGCTAAGCACATGCTGATGTGCTTACTGAACTGAGGCTCAATTTTGGGCTAGTAAACAAGGCTTGATTGAGGGAGCGGAATTTTGAATCCCTTGTCTCTGGTAAAAAGACATGTTCTGTAATGTTGTTTTTCCATGTAGCCTTACCTGATTGCTCTTTGCAATTGCAGATTAGGCCCTGCTACTATGTGCCCTGCTTCGCCACCTCCAAGAATGAGTGTATTTGGATGGACATGCTCTCCAACTTTGGCCACTCAGGATACCAAGCGAAGCACTATGCCTGCATCCAGAGGGTGGAAGGTTACTGCAGCTGGTACAGAGGATGGGCGCCTCCAGATAAAACAATAATCAATGCCACAGATCCCTGAGCACGCTATCCCTTCCTTATCTCCCCTCTCCCTTACTTGTGGCTGATCTTCCTTTGGACACTAACTCTTACCAGATCATGATGATGACAATGAAATTAGTGCCTGTTTTCATGCAAATTTTAGCACTTCGAACACTTAAAAAAGAAAAGGAAAAAAAAAAGGAAAGAAAAATAGTCTGTGCTACCTTACTGAATTTGTAATCACCTTTTCCGTGTTTTGATACCACTCATTTTGATCAGACAACATTTGAGAGCTTACTTTTGCACACCAGAGGGAAAAATGGGAGGGGAAAAAAGAGAAAAAAAAAAAAAAAGAAGAAAGATGGAGCTCTTGCTCTCTTACATGTACCATTAGCTATAGCAATACAATCTCTATTTTTTTAGGAAAACAAAAACCTAAAAACTGTGCCAATTAGGCACTGTATTCTATGTGCTGGCTTCCTGTCACCCCTCTTCATGCACTAAGTGCTGAAAATATTTGAAAGAAAACAGGTTTTATTAATCAGATTGGCAAATGAAACAAACTGAAAAGAAACCTAGCATAAACTCTGGAAAAAATGACATCCGAAAGAAATCCTCCTTTATGGGAGATTGGCAATGTGATTGACTCCAGCAGTGGGAGAATTCACCTGGTGTGTCTGACCACATCATCTGGTAAAAGCATTGTTGACTGATTGTCCTAGCTAATTAAGTCACAGTGTGAATGCAACAGCACATTTGAAGTTCTGGCTTTCCCCAGAACAAAACAGAGAGTATTTTGTATTTTTGTTGTTGTTTAAAAAACAAAAGCCCCATCCCCTATATTCAGGGAGGTAAATCCACCTACAGCAGAGCAGATGAAGTGCTGTGCCATCCTGTTTTGAGCAGCATTGGCCCCTGAAATTTTTGCAGCTTAGCTTCACCAGCAAAACTAGCTTGTGAACACCTTAAACCAAACATGCAAAAATATCAACTGTAAATCAATCACATGGAAGCGGAAAAGGGGAGACTTACTAGAGCTCTTACTATAAAAAAAAAAAAATCTGTTGCCAAAATAGTGTTTTGCTGAACTAAGATGTATATACACATAATGACATAAGCTATTTTTGACAGGATGTGGGGTTTTTTTGGTGTTCTAAACAAAAGAATGATTTGATTGTGTTTTAAAGACAGAAATATTGACATTCCGAGTCAGTGAGTTGTTTTTAAGATATTGAGGCTCCAGTGTATCTGCAATAGTGGCTACAGTCATTGTTTCCTCTGTACCTCCTTGCACCACGGTTCCTCCCCTGCAGCTACACTAGCTGCATATGTTTATATAGTGAAAAAAAAGGAGTGGGGGGGGGGGGGGCTAGGCAAGGAAAAGTGGTCTCCTAAAAAGTGCTGGCTGGGATCATAAAATTTCAGCTGCCCAGAGGATTCCTTCTGTGTCAAGTGCTGTGTTTCCCTCTAGGCACTGTTAACCATAGCTCTGTGCATGTGCTCATACCATATCCTGCAGTGATGTGGGAGGAGGAGCCTTACTGTCTTGTGCTTTGCTGTTGACTGGAGAAGTTTTTCGTTCTATTTTGTTTTTTATTAAGAAAACTATAATATAATTTTTCTTATCAAATAAAAGTATTTTAAGTTTTAATGATGGTGAACAAGGGGTGCTGACAAAATGGGTGACTGAGTTTTGGATGGGGAGGGCTTGGGCAGGGAGAAGATTACACTTAACTTCATTTTTGTATTATTATGATTATTTATCTTAAGTTTCCATATATCTTCAGTTCATTCCACTTAGCAGAGCTGCCACCAGCAGGAAAAAGTGTTGCAGTGATTCCAGCCCAGGGGCAATACAGCATTTTACAGTCAGTGACCTCAATTACTGGAGAGTTGTTTGGGGCCTCTTTGCCAAATGGAAAGAAAAGGGTGTCTGAGATGGGCCCTGATGCATTTTTACGTTCCTTGCATGCTACCAGAGCTCTGTCAAACGTACATCCCCTGAAATGCCCCATTTACTAGATGAATTGTTTCAGCAAAAAGCGCATAGCTTCATTCTTAACATGAGCTTTAAAGGGCATTTTCAAAGAGTTAATGAAGAGGTGCCTAGGTCTGCTGTGTATTTTTTTTTCAGCTGCTCTGAGTGGCAGCGCAGCAGAAAACACACTGAAAGTCTGTTGGATTTTCCTGTGATTCAGGCTTGGAAAACTTTTCAGACGTCCTCTTCCCTGTGACTACTCCTAAATTATGGGTTGGAGATGAGAGGGAGGATAGGGTGCTTCACAGCACCCATCATAGGATCATGTGGTGGGTCAGAATGTTGCCTCTTTTGGCAGAGTACGGGGTTGGGCTTTGGGCACAGTGGAGCAATCTGTTTGAGCTGTACACGGCTGACAAAATCTCTGAAGGTCACTGAGGGCAGAGTGGAGCCGGCCTCGCCACCCTCACTGTTTGCATCGTGTAGAGTTGGCATCGCTGGAGATGGCCCTCCTCATGCTCAAGGCGACTCCGCAAAGCTGACGTCTCTTTGAGCTGCAGCCACTTTTCATGGCTTTGGAAGGCTAAATGAAAATGCCCCTCGATGCAGTGAAGTGTTGATTTCAGTTTTCATTGAACTGCAGCTCTGCATGTTTTACCTGTCACTGATTCATTTAGCTAGCTCAGACATCACAGTATTGCACTCAAATTATTGTGAAAACATTTGCATTCTAATGCTATGAGGACTTGTGTCCCTAAGTAGGATATAATGTAGCTATGTGCTTTGTAAACAACAAAACAGCAGATGCAGTACCAGAAAATGAAGCGTATTCCCATTTTATATTGCAGACAGTAAAATATTTCTGAGATGCAGACAGCTAGACTGGCAGGGGTGGGGGTTTGGTAGCAAATCTTTCCCCTTGCTGTGTAAAGAAGCAGTTGTTAAGGCTTTTTGAAAATGTGGAGCCAAAAGGAGGGGGAAGAATCCAGTAAAAATACATTTCTTTTGGGAGGCTTCTTAATTTTGTTTCTGTGCATGCTATCAGGGACATGTAGTTCTTGGGCTAAGCTTTAGCTTGTGCTTGCATTAAGAACCTGACTGAAGGCTGCCTTGAAGTGGGAGGGAGCCATTAAATGGATTGAACAGGCTCTAAATCAGACTCAAAGACTGCTTCCTTTCTATCTGCTCTCCTTCTGTCCTGCTAAGGCACTTCTGCCTGCCAATGGACAAAACTCTCTCTGTCATTACAGCAGGCCGTGCAATATGTGGGAACACCAGGCATGGAGATGTGAGGAGGCAGGTGCGAAGTTCTCCCCAAAATGTTAGGCTATGGAGCATACAATGGCCTGCAGCAGCATGAATATCTTCCTGTCACCTCTGACACGCTCCTCACTTCACCCCGTAACCTGAGGTCAGAGGAGCTGTCAATGGCACAGCTGATGTGAGCATGACCTTTGGACAAGTACAGGATGAGGGCTTCCCCCCACCGCCCTATGCTTTAGATACACCAACGTTATTACAAGTACCTTTTAAAATGCATAGCTCATTTCTAGACTGTTGCTGTTCGCTTTGTTATTTATAGATATTTTTCCTTATTTGCTTGAGAGTATTTTCCCCTTTAGAATTATAAAAAATACGAAAAATAAACTGAAGGTTTGGGAAAGATTCGATTTGATTTTCCTTTTCCAAAATGGAGGGGGTAGAGAGCAGGAGGAGATCTGTGCATGGAGTACCTTATTCAAATCCTCCTGTGGGAGACTTCCTCCTCCCCTATATGGGACAAAACTGCCATTTCAGGTCTAAATTTTTCCATGTTTTGAAGAGTTACATGGCCCTTTAGGTAGGACTATTCTAAAACTGAAATATATCACCATATCCCAGTCATACTTGGCCGGACTGAAATGCTACCTCAGGGTGATGGGAAACATGCTGTTGTGTTTTTTACAGTCAAGACTGTTTGGAGTAAAGGCCTCCATGGGAACAAGTTTCCATTCTTTCAGATGTCTCTGAAAGTATATCTTACTTATAAGGTATTTTATACCTTAGAAGGGTAGAACCAAATTTAGGGAACTGCAAAAATTTTTTGTCTTTTTTTAGAATAAGTGTCTTTTGGGGCTACCAGTCTTGAGAAAAATCTTTAAAATCCACTAAACATTTGCTGCTGCTTTGCCTGTACTGGCTTCTCATTCTCTCTGACACTGTCCTTCCTTCATAGAGCCACTCTGCTGTTCCTGATAGTCATGGAAACATGGGGAGGGAACCAAACCCGTGTGAAAAATCTTGTCCAGAAGGAATGTATTTGTTGCTAAATTTTCTAGCACTGTTTACAGTTTTCCTCCATGTTATTTATAAATTTTATATTCAGTGAATGTATATTGTCTTTTAAGGTAATGTTGCATAATGTTCACTTTTTATAGTGTCCTTTTATTCTAAACAGTAAAGTGGTTTTATTTCTATCACAGACATCCTGTCTCTGCTTCACTTATATTAGTTTCTGTCCACTTCAAATGTACACAAATAGATTTGCAAGTGGATTTATTCGTTTCCTTCCCTTTCTTGATACCGTTTTATTGGGCCCAAAGCAGATATTCCACCTCTGGCAAGTCTTGCTCTTTGGCAGAGATCCCTCCAGCAGTCCCTCCCTCTTTTTAAGAGGTTGATCTCTCTAAGAATTGTTATTGGGGTTGTAAGTCCAGGAGAGGCAAAAAAATCCCTTTTGAAGCTAATGTATCCCACTTGTTAACTGGCCATAGGGGGTCACTACAGAGCAAGGCAGTCATTATGGCTGTCATGCAGCACCAGTAGGGCCTTATAGAAGAACAGTTGCCAGATTGCTCTTATTTCCAGTAAACTGATCGCTGTGGGGAGGGTAGAAATGTACATGCCTGTGGCAAAGGGAAGAGAGATTCATCTTTCGAATCTTTTCTGCTGTGAAATGTCTGAGCCTTCTGTCCTCTCTTTATATTTACTGTTCAAGGCTGGTTAAAAACGCCCTGTTGTCATGAGAAGGAAGATTCAGAGAGAGTTCTCAACTAAATTAAGATGCTCACAAAAATGGGCCTACTGTTAGAAATTTCCTTTATATCACTTTTACTTTAGGAAAACCTCTGTTCTCTTCACGGATGAACGAATGAAACAGATTTTTCAATCTGTTCTATGTTTAATCCAGAGGTTTAGAAAGTAAGTTTTGGACATAGAAGGATGAGGATCTCTTATGTGAGAACTTCATTGCTTAAAGTATATCACATTGCAAGGAGGTAAAACCATATTACTAGTTATAAACACTTCCAGGGGGTCAGCCATCAAAGGACCACAGTGTATTTTACAAGTGCTAGCTGGTACGGCTTGAAAATGCCTCCAGGAAAGGGAAGAAAAGAGCAGGGAAAAGGGATCTCTATATTCTTATCTGACATATGGAGAAGCTGATGCACAGTGGGCAAGCAACTTTCACAGGTATTTGGTGGAGTGATGACTGCAACGGAGCTTGCTTGGCCCAAGCACTTGCCCTCTCAGCCTCTCACAGCCCAGGATGTGAAGATGCAGCTAGAAAAGATCTTGAGAAGTACGTAGATTCATTCTGTGAGGCAGACTCCCCCACCTGGGAAGTGCTGGCCTGAATTTGCCCAAGTGGTTTGTTGCTTCTCTAAATGTTTGGAAAGTGACTGATTTAAACCAGATTAGTCAATCTTGCATATCAACAATAGCGTTTGTGTTCACATGAGATTATCTACAGTTTAAAAAGGTTCCTGTATTCTTTTGGAAGTAAGCAATAGCGCCTGCAAGGAAGCAATAGAATCTCCAAGTAGGTGGTCAGTTATAAAGATGACAAATATGTGAAATTAAGATCAGTGCTTTGCTAAACCAAACTACTGTGCTGGTAACAAATGCATTTACATGCTGAGAAACCAAGAAGCAGATTTCCAGACAACAAAATAATGCTAAAAGTGCTAGCTAACATATTTGCAATGGCAACCTTAATCAAGTCTTCCAAAAATACCATTTCTGAAGTGATGGTCACACAAAGTACAGCTGTCCTGAAGCATTACATATGTCACAAACCCTCTTTATAAATCAGCGGGAATTAAATGCAACAGGATCTGTCAGCTAATTTGTTTTAAAAGTGTGCAACAAACTGTCACATAGTGTTTAAGGACCATCCATTTCTTTATGTCTTAAATGATAATACAACTCTTACCACTGCATTACTTGAGTGCTTCACAGCACTCATGGCTGTACTTACCTCCATGACGTGCCTGTGAAGTATGGAAGTGCTGTTATCCACATAGCACAGGTTGAGAAACAGAGTACTGGAACAGTACGATGAAGGACTGACATTTCAAGGTATTCAGGTACCTAGCAAGCACCGGTGGGATTTTTCACAAGAATCTAAATGAGGCTTCTTTTTGACTTTTGAAGCTCGCACTAGGTGCCTATATCCACCATCAGGTACCTACACCCTATTATGCATTGTGGTTGGCCCACAGTGTTGCAACAAGTGTGTGGGAAAAGGGGGGTGGGGGGTGTGTGAATGTTTTTGAGCCCTAGTTTGACATTTCAACAACCCTAATCTCCAGGCTACCGGTGCTGCTCGAGTTCACAATCAAGTATGGGAAATAAGTTCAGACAGCCAATGGCTCACATGAGGGGTCATGGCTCACACAGGGTCTCATCAAAGCCTCAGCCAGGTGAGAAGAGCCACTAATTCATGGATGTAAGTTGGGAGCAAAAATTCATGAAGGACTAGCCACCCTTTTAACCCAGGGAAACCAAGAGACATGAACAGTTTTAAACGAAGCCACTCGCTTTGCCATATTCTCCAGGACTAAAGGCACCTATGCAGATCTCTTTGGAAGGTGCCCTAAGAGTTTGGTACAGTGCCCAGTAGCCACACAGGGCACTGAGTGTTTAGTTGTTGACAGGAAGACTAGACCCCAGAGCCACTGCGCAAAGGAAACATTACAAGCTGAAACAACCTCTTTTTCAAGAACTCCAATTTGCTTTGAGTACCTAGTCAGGCTGATAAACGTTTCATGGATGGCAACCATGTGACGGACCAAGCAAACTGCCGCTTTGAAAAAAACATCTCTTATGGCCCATGTCCCAAATCATCAATGTATTTTCAACAATTCCACAAGGGGAAAAAATCCACTTTATCTGAATGAAGTGATTGCTTACTCTAAGGGATGAGCTTTTGTTGATTAGATTTTACAATGCATTTTTGTTTTGGTGTTGAGCCTGTTCTAATTTTTCACTTCTTCAGGGTCTGTATGGGATCTGGGGGAGGGCTGGGCAAGAAGGAAAAGAGGGTCCAGAGCACTGCTTTTTGCATCTTGCTTTTAGCTAGTAATTCTCCAGAAGTAAAACTGAGACTCTTCCCAGCATTCCCACTGCCATCTCTTGTGCCCAACTCACATTCATTGCTTCTCCCCATCCACCCTATAGTCAGAAGAAAGCAAAGGTACTCACCATCTGCTTATGGCTTGGGAAGAACGTTTGCTCCACGAGGGGAAACTTCTCAGGACCCAACGAGTTGAAGATTTTAATGAGCTGAGAGAACTTGGGGTGAGGGTGGGAACAGAAAAACAGACACAGTGGATGTCAGTGGCTTACTGTGTAGCAGGTAAGTGCTTGTAAAATGTTCTGATACTGGTGAAGGAGGTGGGAGAAACATGTTACGCCTTTCCCACCTTGCTTTCTTGACCTAAGAGCAGCAAGAAAATATGATGTTGCTGGCTGTATTTACCCAGGACCAAGCCAGCCTGTGTACACAAACCTTGTACTAAGAGAGCAGAGACATGTTTCAAGAGCCAGAAGGGGATCAGTTTGGGTTTAGTTACAGATCTGCTATGTACAAGCTTTGCTTTCCAAATGTGTCTGGGGATAGGGTGGGGAGGCTCTTCTTGGTAGAGGAAAGGGCTCAGAGGAGTGACCAGGCAGGAAATCAGTGCTACCACGCCTGAGCAGAGACAAAATAAATCAAAGATCTCCCTTGGATCTCTGCACCACAGCCAGATCAAAGCAAGGCACATATACTCGTTGTGCTGAAGGGAAGGAGAATTGCTAAGGAACACAGATGACTAGAGGACATTGCCCGTGCTACCTGGTTTGAGTGTTAGACCAAGGAAGCATGAGCCCACCGGCAATCATAACTGATGTCTGTTATGAATCAAGGGTCTCCCAACAGGCCCCCATGCATGCCAGGAGAAAGGGGAGATCATCTGCTACCCCTGTCCCATCTACTGGTGAGGTCTGAGGGAAGGACCAGTCTGTGAGGATGGTATCTAGAGAAAGCAGTATATTACATCAATGGGGAAAGCAACAGTGCTGGTATTTCACGTACAAGGGTGAACACTTGCGTCGTCCGAGCCTGTCAGCATGAACTTCACCATTATCACCACTATTATAAGATGTTTATCATTCAGGGTTGTGCCCAGCCACACACAAAGGTCCCCATGGTAGGACTGAGTTTTGATTTCAGTTCAAATTCCTGCTCCACTTCGGCCATCTGTGAAGCGAGCAGACTGTACATTGTCTGCAGCCTCCCTGTTCAATCTGTCATTGATCAGCTAAAAACCCCAAAACTATAAGAGAGAAACTTAACCATGACAGCAAATGTTGCTGAAGCAGGATTGGTATACCAAAGAGAATAAGAGGTGGTGTACATATATACCAGAAACCTTCTGGATCTCAGGAGAAACTTAGATTCTTTACAATCACACCTCTAGCCACTCTGCTTTCTCTCTGAAGAGGTGCAGCCCCATTACCATGGACAATTCTGAACTGGCAGTGCTGTTGGTGAAGTGGTTAGACCTGCAGCCTTGCAGAATGGGGAGTAAAGCTGAATGAGGTAGCTCGATTATTTTCATGGACATTAAGAGAATAAAATGGTTGGGGATTGCTTCACAGATAAGGATCTTGTTTCCTTCTGAGCTGATAGATGTGACTGAATTCCCCATTGATGTCCTATTTGCAAAGTAATTTAGAAACTGAATCTCATTTCCAAGCCCCCTGGAATTTGGTAAAATCAAGGTAAATTAATAAAGGCCTCCAGTCTGGGCCAAATCTCGCTGTAAGTGCTTTACAAAAGTTCCTTCAAGTTCCCCATCAAAGCTAGGGATGCATTCATCTCGAAGGAGATCTTTGTGTCACCTGTGTGACAGGTGGTAACACGGAGGGAACACACAGACTAAGGGAAGAAGACAGACATCTAGGGAGCAAGGGAAGGGAAAGAAAGCTCTCTTTCTTGCCAATGGTATCGGCTGCCTAATCTTACGTGTTCTGAGCACTTCTGAGCAATGACTGAAGCCAGTATATGTACCAAACTGCAGCCCCAAGGTTACGTTGCAGATAAAGAGAGAGCTACTGAGAATGTTTTCTGCTGAGTAGCTATGTTAGGGCTCCTGTCCTGGTTACTGGGTTAGTCTAAGCAAAAGCATTTCTGTATAAGAAGTTGAAACTTCACTTGGTGGTGAAGAAATACCCCTTTGGGAGTTGAAGGGTGGTATGTGTGTAAAAAAAAATGCAGCCAGTGTGTAAAAAAATTGGGCTGCAAGGTGTGTGCTAGTCCCAGGACACACGCTGAAGGGGCAGCTGCCAGCAGATTTGCAGACAAATGCAAAGAATCCTTTTCTAATCTTGTAGGTCAAAATGTGGCATTTAAGCAAACCCAGGAAACATCAAGGGGAAGCATATCCCATCACTAACACCATCACCACCTCACATGCATCAGCAGATAAGAGAAAAACTCCCTGTGTAGAATAATTATCATTGGCAAGGAGAGTGTTGATGTTGGGGAAGGAGGACAGCCTGCCTCTCTTAACTACTTGCACTAGCCCTGCACAGCCTAGAGAAGAAAAATAAAGCCCTGTTTTGACTAGCAAAGTGAGAAAACAGGGCTTAAAAGTTAAACAGAATGAGACAGAGACAGGGAAAACACTCTGGATGAGAGCAGCACATGCCCCTCACTGCGTGTGCATGCAGCCCTGGCAAAACCTGGATGCCATGTTGTTGAGGTGACATACGTTTATCCTAGGAAAACAGCTCAAACAAAATAACTGGAACAACTGTGCAGCTGACAGACAGCACCCTGACTTGTTCCTTAGGCTTCCTTTTGAAGCATACAGCTCTTGGCTGTTGCTGAAATAACAAGTGTTTCAGATGGACAGAGGAGAGACTCAGCCATCTGGGAGCCTCCTCAATGGGCCAAGCCTGCAAAAAGGTCTGACTTTGGTATTGACCCAATTGGGACAATTACCTCCTTTTTTTCCTTTTTTTTGGCAGTTGTTACGACAGGATATTGGCAAAGAGACACCCATGTTACATGGTGCAGCAGCCTCTTAGATACCTGATAGCAGAGCTCAAGTAGCACCTCCCAGTGCATTTTATATGTGTAGGAATGTTACTGTCAGCAGCTCAGCTAAATAGAAGTGCCCCTTCCACATTTTGGTATCAGTTCTTACTTTCTGTGATCCCACTGGTTTTAGTGAGATTGCATCCAGACCAGAAAGACAGACATGGGGCAAGGCAACATGGCACAGGCTGGGTTTTAAGTGAGATGCCTTGCCTGGCTGGTTGGACATCAGAGTTACTTGTGGGGAGTCTTTACAGAGAAATAAAAAGATCCATTCAGAGGATCTCAAGGCCTTTTGCATATTTTTAAAGTGTCTAGGTCATTAGGGGGCCTAGATCCCTTGACAGTCAACAACAGTTTGGCTGGCAGATGACTGTCATCAAGACTTTGTATTTCCTGCAGTCTTACAGATGGAAAAGTTGCCTTACAATTACGGGCATTACTGCATGCAGTATGAGTACTACTCTGAGCATTGTTCCCATCGTATTTTGTATTGTAACTTTTATAAAACAAAAATTATTATTAGTGGTTGAAGCATTGTGTTTAGGGTGCTTGTAGCATTATTTCTCAATAATTCTGGGATCATCTTAAAACTTAGGTTTCTTAGATGTTTCTCTGCATGTGATATCCCCCTGAATATGTCTGTTTCTCTTTCAGAAATGCCTATTTCAAACTGTGCCTGTGTTTAATGCAAATTTTAACCTCTGAAGAAACTTGTGTATTGCATACTGGAAACCTGGCAAATGTAATTAAAAAATGGGGCTGCACGTTTGAGTAAACTCAAGCCCAAACTCAGCTGATTGTAATTAGAGTTGCTGAGAAAAAACATTGTTGCAAATTGCCAAGGAAAAACAGTCTCACTTCCATCCCCCTCCACAAAATCATAAACATTTCTACGAAATGGAACCATTTTTGGAAAAAATAAAATGGGACGGTGAAAATCACATTTCCCAGGGGTATTTAATTTCATTTCTTCATGTATCTCAACTGTTTTCTAGGTCCAAAAAGTTTCCAGTAAGCTTTGTTAAGCAGATCCCTTATTTCAAGATGCCTGTTTCGCAATCAGAGTGGAACATGCACCAAAGTGGTCTGTCCCTATCTCTCATTTCCCAGTTATCACAAAATCAAAATTTTCTGATTCTGCTGCCAGTGAATCTTCCTGCCCTCAAATGCCCCAGTGCAATCTCTACCTCTACCTTCAACGTGATAAAATTTCAGTGTTGCCAAATACCAGCTCAGATCCCATCTGAGCTCTTAATGCATTAAAATCACTCATTTGGGGGGTGATGTGTGTGGGGGGGCAGTAGGGAAAGGAGGCATCCTGCAAACCTGTTTTAAGTGTTTACAAGTGGTTTCCTTGACTCCTCTGGGAAGGTTGTCTGTGCCAGCTGTATTCCCAGTGAGGAAAGCATAGCACAACCAGACCCAGAATAGCTGGAGCCAAGTTACTGATGCAGCCAATTTCTCCCACACTGCCTTGCCAGTCCTGCTTTTGCTTTTTCTTTTTTACTTTTTTTTTTCAATGTGCTGAGTTTGTTTGTTTTCTTTTATTTTAGATTCCTAAAAATAGGCCTGTCACTTCTTGAGGCCCTTGCACACCATCAGAAACATAATTACAAGGCATGAGTTGAAAAATGTCAACTAAGCCTTGACTGACTCAACCCCAAAATCAGATGTAATAGACCGCATGACTGTCTTCCTCAGCAAAAGCCAGTGTAAATGCAGAAGGTTTTTGTCTGGTCACTGGGGTCAACATGCTTATGTGTGTAGGACCAACTGTTGGAAGCAATGCAAAGGTGTTGTGCTGAGCTGGGTTACTTGATCCCTCTCTTCCTGCCCTTTCCAATCCCAGCAACCCTCGTCATTCAAATAGGGTCTGAGGCCAAATGTGCATCATCTACCTATACAGTGATGTAAAAGTGAGTTTTTTCTCACTACTCTCATTACTGCACTGCAGCATTTTTGGAAAAGTAGACCATGCTTTTGGTCTCAACAAAACCACCCAAGTGTCATAAAAGAGGTTAAAACTGAGAAGACCATGTCTATTACACTGGTAACTTTTTGGTATGAAATGAGTTAAATCCAACACTGCATAGTCATGGAAATAGAAGTCTGAGTCATTACAGACCTCAGCTGGATTTGAAGTACCACTGAAGACTAATAGGATATTTGTTCCCAGGAAAAAACAACAACAAGAAAGACTTAATTAGGTAATGAGGACAACAGTTACCACTTGCTATAAATGTTCCGTCTCACCCCAAGCTATATTTGTGCAATAAGTAAGGGGAATTCCTAAAAACGCATCTAAAAGTTTTCCCAGGGGGTTGGGGGGGGTGGGAATATTGGAAAGTCCTATCTCCTTGTCACATCCATATAGCTTGTAGTCCCCTGCTTCGGACCTAGAACAATGCAGGGAAATTTCCATTCTGGGAGCATCAGTGATCAGAGAGGACACTTTGGAATGAAACTGCTTAGAAGACCCAGATGTGGACTCCAAAATGGTATCAGCATCTGACTTCTTCCTGCAGGTGCTTTGATGGCCAGCCTTGCTCCTGTGTCTCATGATGGCCAGCCTTACTCCTCTGGCTCTCTGGCTCCTGCAGTTCCTGCTGACTTAGAGCTGGTCATAAAACAGGTCTGGGGAATTATTACAGACTTTGATTTAGGGCTGCGACAAACCAATGATAATGGTTAATGGATAATGATAATCTCAGTGTTATCTGAGATTTTTAGGTGAACTTGACAAAATCTAAAGAGCAGGTGAAGGGGGGTCCCAGTGCAAAATGTCAAAACACTGTCCTGTTCTCCCCAGGAGCTGACTCAGCCCAAAGTGTTTCTGAGGTGCAGTCTTTCAAGTTCAATGAACCAACGCTTTATGATAATCTTGTATTTCCTTCTGAAACTGCTGAAAAACTCTACATGTTTTCCCCTTTCCTTTTGCCTCTTTCCCAGGTCTTTCACATTCTATGTTCCCTTTTTTCCTAGACCTAACTGTTGAAGAAATCATCTCTCTACCTTTCTTTCCTTTCTTTTCAGCTGATTTCCTCACAACAAAGCACCACTCAGAAAAATTAGGAAGAGAAGACAAGTGCAGGTTGCACTTCAGCAAGGAGTGGATAATCTTAGACTTAGGCTGGGGCACCTGGATACTACAAGTGTGCATCTAATAAAAGATGCTAGAAATAGTGTAGTTCAGATACCTTGAAAACCAGTAAATATTAATGTTTCTTTTAAGGTAGTTTACCATGTTTTGGTCAGGACAGAGACATGTTATTATTGATCTGGTATTATTAATCTGTTACTGTTAATCTGTTCTGCCTTACAAGAAATCCAGGTGTTACTGTACTGTTAGCTGTTTGTGACACATTAGAGTCTGGGACAGGTGAAACATCCTAGTCAGGGTGAGGAAGTAACAACTTGATATGACTAGAAGCTGATAAAGGAGCAGTGCTGGTAATTTTTTCCCCCAAGAATTCCCAGCTGTATTCCTAAGGTTGTTTAGATGTGGTTTTCACCTAAAGAGATGACTTCCTATGAAACAGACTGGAAGCTGAGTTTGGTGCTTTATCGGTACCAGGTATCTCCTTTGCAGTGTTGGCATGCAGTAGAGCTGGAATAGAGTCACTTACCACCCAGGGCTTGCTGCAGAAGTTGTAGATGGAGTAGAGAGAGTTGACTGTGTGGATGCCACCGTACTGGAGGCCGATGATGAGGCTGCGGAAGTCCTCTCCCAGTGCCATGCTGTAGGCATGCTGCCGGATAAGGACAAAGTCTGGCTTGAAGGACCTGGAAGAGATGAGGGGAGTGACGTTTTACTTTCAAATGCTCAGCAACACTTCTAGCCTCTCATTTCTTTTCCATGCTTCCCCTTTCTTTTCATTAACACATATTGCTCTTCTTTGGGCCTCTCGTCAGGGGTTGCTTGCGTTAGAAGGTAACAAACCAAACAAAAAGCCCTAGTCATTAAAAAAAGGGAAAATCCAACATAGCTACAAGTGTGAGAGCTTAGAAACGGGCCAAACAGATTTGCTACAGTTTCCATGTCACTCAGGCATGCACAGGAACAAGCCCCAGGCGGAGCCAAGGGTCATAAATTTACTGGTGGGGGGATTCTCTTTTCTTTCTAAAAGCTTGGCCATATTTGGCAAGCTCGTTGCAATGTGCGATGCAGATGAGGGAGCAAGTTTGTTTCCTGATGATTGAACTCGATATTGAAGCAATGCCCAGTGGGTGGGAAGATCATAAGGGATTTCAAAAAGCTATTGTACACATCCCTACGTTAACATACATTCCCCCTTTAATCAGTTTACTACATAAGCAGCACATCCCAGGCTCTTATGGCTATGAGTCTACAAGTAAAGGGCAGGCATGGTAATGTAATTAATCAAATGAGCAGAGCCCCTCATCCAGTGCTGTGACTCATGGTGTGGACTTCCAGAATATTATTTAGTAAGACTGGAGCTGGGACTCCTATGGTTCAACAGCAGCATCTCTCAGCAAACGCACAGAAAAGTGAGGCCCTTTCTAGGTAAGCCAACAGGCAACGGACTATCTTTCAAACTGCGAGATTTCATTCCTTGCCGACGCTGTGTCTTCAGACCCATTCAGGAATCTCTGGAAACAGCAGCTGGAAAGAAAGTGTTCCCAAAATGGAGCTCAGCAGTTCATTCTCGAAGGGGTGGAAGGGGCTTTTCCACTGAAACAGGGGATTATTCTGTACTTTAACAGAGGTTGCATCAAGGACATTGGAAAAATTTCCATGCTGTATTAAAGTTTTTCAGAGAAATGAGCTCTGTAACCAGGTCCCATTACCTCACTACCCTTGAACATTTTCCTTGCTAAGAGACTATAATTTCTATCCTTTGGATGTATGAGCTGGAAATACTTTAGGTTTATAGCCCCTATTTATATTTCCATCATTCTGGCAGGGAAATCCGAGATGGTGACTCTGGGCCAGATTGTGGCAACAAACACTGTATACAAAACCCAGTACAGCTTTGTTGTTTTAAAGCTGTTCATTTTGTTTGTTGGCCTTGGGCTTTTGTTATCGCCCGAGACATGGTGAGGAGCATGCTCTGCTTTTGTGATGCAAGAGGCCAAGCTTTGGAAATGTTGTGATTCCCTCCCATGGAGTATTTTTAAACCCAGGCGTGTTCCCTAATGTGCTTGGCACCAAAGGCGGTGCTTTCCTCCAGCAGCGAGATGCATAATGAGCATCGGGAGGGCTGCACTATCACTGTGCAGCTGATTTATGGACCTCCCTGGTGTCAATGGGGGTGAGGCAAGTGGTGACCCCCTGCTGAGAAACAGCAAGTAAATATAAATCTTGGAAAGCTTGAGCTGCTCCATTCTGCTGGACTTGCCATGTCAAAAGTACTCCAGAGGCAGGCACAGGTCCTCAGGAAGGATTAATCAGCTTCCTAGGACCAGGACTCGATATCTGCACTGAGTTACTAAATAGTTGTGGTGCCTGGAGGGGTAGGAGCTTCAGGCGTGTCCCTCTTTCATTCAGCTTTCTGAGTGTGTGAAGAAGAAAATGGTCCCTGTTACAGCTCAAGTCTTTCCCCAGACTTGACTTAGGGAATAGCATTCACTGGGGCTGCACAGTAGTGGTTCAGACCATTGCTCTGGTCTCCCCAGAGGAAGCGGCAGTATTTACCCTTGAACATCTCCCCCAACACCCCAGAGTGAGGACGTGGTGCTGTGGTGGGGAGGAAGCATACAAATGAGCATGGCCAGCTCAGGGAGGGGAGGACACACAGTAGCTGGGAAACTGCCTTCAGTGGCTTTGCTTCTGCCAGCCAAAAGTTTAGGAAAAAAAGCTCTTGTCTTTTCAGATCCTGGCAAAGGAAGAGTTTCTCAACTTAGAAGATGGACACAAGAATACAGAATTAATGTAGAAAAGCCTATTCTCAAACTCTACATCGTGTAGGAAGGCAGGGCACTCTCTCATGCAGCAGATGAGGAGTGAATCTCTAAAACGAAGGTGGACACTGAATCCCTGTTTTGAGCCGTGGGACAATGAGGATGTTCCCATGGATACTGAGAACAAGGCAGAGGAGTGCAGGGCCTGGGACTAGCTGCGAATAAACATCAGCTGGAGAGCCCAGGAGTCTGCGAGATGTCTGTAAGAGAGAAACAGAGACCAGTGGCAAAATGTGAGGCGAGGGGCTAGGAAGGACAGCAGGCAGTAGAAAGGGAAATGAATAGTCATGGTAGGAGTGGCTGCGTGAAAACTGAATAACTGGGGTATCAGTGATCTGGTAATTGCTTCACACAGCGATTCTTGCTTTTTTGGTAGAAGATTGCTTTTGCAAGTTACTGCTCATTCTCAGAGTGTAAAGCTTAAGCTAACATAGCGAGCCTTGGATTTGGAATAGCTAGTGGCATAACTGTTTTCTTTGCTAGTTCAACCCAACCCAATAACATCTCCCATGACAGAAAGTGGAAATCCTTGGCGGACAGACAGGTTAGGCAGAAGTCCCACATTTGAAACAATGCTGCCAAAACCTTTGGGTAAGCCAAACTCAGTAGCACCTACTGTGCTGAGGTCCTAAAGCACTCAAGTCTGGCAGAACTAGGAGAGCTGTAGCAGGAGCATGTACCTTTCCTCTCCACTAGATCTATCCAGCCAGCGTTTAGATGACCACGAGTGGTCTTAAATAAAACTGTACCTAGACCCCTGCTAAAGACAGGTCATGGGAATGGGTTTGGTCACAGAAAGAATACAGGAGAGCCCATTCAAACATCTAATGGACAGGGAGATGGGATAGGTAAATGGAACTAACAGTAAACCACAGATTTAAAACATATCACTAATAAATTGTGCTCTGCATGTTAGTGCGGTGCCCTTCCTGGGCTGTGTGGCAGACACCTACCTGAAATTGTGACTCATCCTTAACATGATAGCCAGATGGATGAAGCTTCCAGGAGAAAGCTGTAGCCCATCTTTGGCCACAGCCCATTTACAGAAGCCCTTTCTCAGTCCCCAAGAGCTCAATTCTCATTTAGAGTTTGGCTCCTAGCACTGCCTGGCGAAATAAAGGCCACTAAAATGCATGTAACACGTTCCCAGAGTGGTGTAGAGATACAAGAATCCTTTGGTTTTTTTAAAAAAAAAATCCAGGGGACTGGAAAAATTTCATTTTCAGATTGATATAGCTGGTGAGATTTCATTTTCTTCTGGAATGGAAATGTGCTTTCCTTTCAGCTCATGTTGCCACAGGCAGTGGCCTCTGGCACACATGGCAGGAGCCTTCCAGGGCTCCAAGTAGTGCACAACTGAACCGGCCATCCCCAAAGGGAAGCAGTCCCCCACAGGTTTATGTGGCTTTTCTCCCTTTGCAGTAGTTGCCTCCTTGTACCATATGCTAGCACATGGCAGCTGCTCAGCCTACCTCTCCTGGCAATTGAGGTCAGCCAGTGATTACCAGAGTCAATCACCCCCGGGTGATGACGAGTGTCTGGCTAGGAAGCTGCTAGTACTGCCAGTCCTGAGCCTGGACTCTGATACTGCAGTGCAGGATGCTTATTTGCATTTAGCTAATTCTTTTTCAACTTGTTCCAATGTATTTTAACAATGTCTTTCTTTCTTTCTTAGTGGTAAAACTACACTTCAGAGACAAAGCTAAGTATAAAGCCTGGATCCAAAATACCTAATAGGAAGAGATCTGACTGCAGAATATAATTTCTTAGGTTGAATCCATGTACCCTTATATCTATGACAGCATAAGCTGTCTTGGAAATAGTTTTGTCAGAAATGAGGGAATATAAAACAATTTAAGAGATTCCTGATGTTAAATATGGAAGTTAAATATCTCAGGAGCAGTGGTAGCTGTTCTGGTGACCACATGTCTAACTTCTCTAATTAAGAGAAGAGGATCAGCTCTGAAAAGATCATCAATAACATTTGTCTGCAGAAAGCAGGTCCCCATCCTGCTTTGGGGTAGAGAAGACGATGACAGCAAATCCTGCTGGGAGTTTTCATGCCTTAAAAAGATTTCCTATTTCTTATTTCTGCATATAGCTGTAACTTTGGCTTGCTCCCTGGTCCTTCAGCTTTTCTCACTGAAGCACAAAGAGCTTCATGGGTATGAAAAGAACACACAAGAATAGATTATATTGTCAAAATACCTTTTAATGATCCCTTCCACTGTGAATAATCACCTCCAGCCAAAGGGTAGACCTGCTTTATACTTTAGCACCATGATGGGTTTAGAGAGCTTTTTGCCCATGCTATGGGAGAAGGATGGGCTCTCCTGCTCCTTTTCTTAAAGAGTGGTGGTCTTTCGAGAACTTTGCCCTTCATGTCGATAGAAAAAGATCTTCCCTGGACAATGAAGATGCACATCCTCACTTCGGGTTCTGTCTACCCTCCATTATTCAAGGAGGCTTAATTCAATTTTCTGACCCTTTCCTGTGATCAACACATTTGGACTAAGTTCTCTTCCAAAGCCTTTGGTATCTGGCATGACATGGAGATGGAAAAAAATGCATAATTAAGCAATGTGATACAACAAGCTTTGCATTACTGGCAATTAATGGAGCCTTCAGGCAAGCTTCTGAGGCACAAGTCCAAGCCATAAATGGCTGCAACTACCTGAGAAGTGCAATAATCCCTCCAGCTATGCAGTGCCTCAGGTGTCTGAGAGCTAATAGAAAATGGCATTTACAAATAGGAACAAGTTCTTTTTGTGCTTTACTTGGGTGTTAATAGTATTCTTATTACATTACTGAAAAGTAATATGAAATCTATGACATTTTCACCTATCATGATGTTAGACAAT